AAAATGAAGGAGCAAGGGAAAGAGAAAGGAAGGAAGATGGGCTGCCTCAAAAGCATTTACAAACTGAAGAAACAAAGGAACAACAGTTGCATGGATGAGTGAATTCAGCGAATGACCTGAGTGTCGGGTCAGTAGACAGGTGACCACCCTCCGGCCTCCATCTGCTCCAAGGCTCCCCTGGCCTTGGCCCCTCTGCCCCATTTTCTGACCTCCCACCCGCATTCTCCCTGAGGCCGGAATCCCCTGCTGTCGGGGCCGGGTCTCTGCTGCCCCCGTGTGGCCGCTCTGCTCCCTGCACAGTCATCACCCGGGGCTGCCGGCTCTGCTTCGGGTTCCTGGCTTGGGGTGTGGAGTGTTTATGGATGGTTGAAGGAGTGGAGGCACATGGAGGCACCCTGGAGTTGGTGCCAGAGGGGGTGGAACTTCATAGGCCCAGTCCTGCCCCTTGGGATGCCTTGGAAGGGGACACAGACTCTGCTCCCGATGCCTCCTGGGATGTCCCCTCCCGATGTCCCCTCCCCTCCCTTTCATCCCAAACACCAGATCCCAGAGCTCCAGAACTCCTTCACCCAAAGCCTTGACCTCACATTTACTGAGCACCCACTGTGTGCCAGTCAGTTGCCATGTGGCATTTAATTCCATCCTGTGAAGTATGTATAATCCTTATCCTCCTCTGACAAATGAGGAAACTGAGGCACAAAGGGGCTAGATAATTTGCCCAAGATCCCACAGCTGATAAGTCGGGGTGTGGGTGCTTTTAGAGGCCTTCTTGACTAATACGCTCATTCTCCAGATGGGGAAACAGGCTCTTGAAGGGAAGGAATTGTCACACAGCAGGTAAGCAGCAGACCCAGCCTATGGCAGGTGGAACACAGAAGGGCTTCTCCCAAGTTCCCTTCGGTCTGGCCTCTCCAGACCAACCCAACTCTGGCTGCCCTTTACCTGGAGCTCAGGGCTGGGGCCGCAGGCCACTTGTCCCTGCCTCGCCATTATTGACCCTTCTGGGTGGGATGGGAAGGTTGATAACGGGGTGGGAGGGGGTGGAGAGTGAGGGAGCCCCGTGGCCCAGTCTGAGTGTTCCTTTAGTTGTTTGGTCTGTCCCTTCAGGTGTCTGCAGGCATAGACAAGGCAGGAGAGAGGAAGTGAAGCTTCGAGCTGCTGTCGCCTCTGGATGCTGCTGTGGCTCACCCTGCTCCTCCCACACGCAGGCCTGGACCGCCACTGCCGCTGTCAGGACAGGGACCTCCATACCTGTCCTCTTGGGTGGGACTCGGCTATTCCTGAGGGCTCCTAGACAGAGAGGGCTTGGGACCCTTGAAGCAGGCCCACGGGCCTGGGGCTGGAGGAGCGGGGAGAAGGCGGGGTGGGCAGGGGGGGAAGAGGCAGGAAGAGATGGGAGTACTGTGGTTTGGGCCCTGCTAAAGGCAGCCGGGATGCTCCTCGCTGACCAAGAGCAGCACTCGCTGACGTCCCTCGTCATCACTTCAAAGCGGCTTAGAGCAGCCCCCGCTCCGTGCCTCCCTCCCTCCCTCTGACCTCTCCTGCCCAGGGCCTCACTGCCAGCGGGACCAGGACCTTCGGCCTCACCCTGGACATGAAGCTTCCCCAGCTCAGCCCCACCTGGCCTTTCCAGCCCCAGCTGGCTGCGTGGCTCCCCAGACACCTGTGACACCTTTGCATAGGTAGTTTCCCTGCCTCGAGGCTGCTCTCCCTTCTCCACCTGCACAGCCCTCGCCACCCAGCAAGGCTGGTGCCTCCATCTCCTCCAGTAAGCCTTCCCTGGTTTCCACCTTTCTTGGGCTCCTGTAAGGCCTGTCGCATTGGTTACCTCTGTCTGCCGGGCTCTGCGGGGGGTGGGGGTGGTGTTGCACAGAAGCTCTTCCTTCAGGCCCTGTGGTGGGCAGGCCTCCTGAGAATTTCCACCCAGATTCTCCTCCTTCCATGCTTGCTGTGATCTTCCAGGGGAGGGGAGGGGAAAACAGAGCAGCCTGAGATCCAGAGGGGCTTCTCTGCCGCCCCTCGGCCCCACTGTCGAGCAGCTGGGGAAGGCGGCATTGTGGTCTAGTAGTTAAATCATGAGCTCGGGAGCCAGACAGCTTGAGCTCAAATCCCAGCTCTGAGATGCTCTGGCTGTGTGATCTTGGGCTAGTTACCTAGCCTCTCTGAGTTTCAGTTTCTACATCTGCAAAAAAGGAGCCAACAACAGACCTACCTCTAAGTCTGCAGGGCTGCAGGCCAGGCAACCTGAACTCACATGGCCCGTCTCCCCTCCAAGCCTTTCCCTGGGCTCCCTTCTCCCCATCCTCCCCAACTTCAGCAAAGTTGATGCATTGGCCAAGTTTTTGTCCACTCCTGCCCTTTTCTACATGCTGTTCCCACAACCAGGAAGGCTTTTTTGGTCTTACCCCACTTTCCTGCCCTTATTCCTCTCGCCCTGAGGGATAAGCGACACCACTGGGCGGCCTTCCTTGATATTCCCTTCTGCATTCTCCCTGCCAAGCTGGCTCGGGGACGCTTCTCGGAGCTTCCCCAGCAGCCTCATGTCACTGGTCCTTGTGACGGTCTCCCCAGCCAGACAGGACCCTCCTGCTCCTCTGGGCACCCAGCAGCAGGGGAACGCGTGCTCACAGCAACCCGCACCGAGGCCCGAGGCCCAAGGCCCTGATTTCTGGAGACAAAGGTGATTTGGGGCGAGCAGGGCTCCCCGGAAGCCCCCTCCCTCCTGCCCCAGCTTTATTTTGGTTCTAGAATTATTCCAGTCAGCATACTCGGTCCCCACCACGCCCATCCGGGTGCACAGTCAGCATTTCATGCAGTTAGAGGGAGGGATGGAAGGGGAAGAGAAGGCAGGCGAGTAAATGGCCTGCACAGCAGAGCCACTGGGGTGGAAGAGCAGGGGCTCTCCCAGGCGGCAGGGGCCCACCAGCTGCGTGTCCCCGGGCCCTGGGCTGGCCTGGGCCACGCAGACCTCCTGGCGCTGGGCACACGGTGGGCAGCCCGGCCTCGGGACCAGGCCGCAGCTGTGTCAGGTGGGGAGAGCTACCACGCTGCCTCCGGTCCCCTGGGCTCCCCGACATCACTGGGGGTAACTGGCTGGGCCTGGGTCTCCGTAGCCCACCAGGTCCAGAGGCAGCCAGCCTGAGGACCTACCTCTCACCTCCCTACCCCCCATCCCTGTAACCCGGCGGGCCCCCCTCCCCTCAGCTGCAAGGGGCACACAGCAGCCTGCTTCTCTGGGGCTGCCTTAGGCGGCTTGGAGCTGCCTCAGTGACACCTAGAAGGCCATGCATGCCTTCCCTCCAAGACTCATGTGGGTGTGTAACGGCCCAGCCCTTGGCTCCTGGGCAGGACTCCTCTGCGGTGCCATTTGCACAAGCCCTCACCGTTGGGACTCCACTGAAGCCACAACCTGCCGGCTTCCTTGCTTGCCCCAAAGCTCCCTCTCTGCCTTACAGGGTTCTCTTGAGGGCTCTCCCCCAATAAACCCCTTGCCTGCGAATCTCGGGGTCTGCTTCTGGAATCAGCCTTGGACAGCTGGTGTCCTGGGGGTCTGAACCAGGCTCCAGAGCCACCTCCCCCCCGGCATTCAAGCCTGCCCCCACCAACTCCATCCTGACCCCCTCAACTTCCCCTCACGGTCACCACTCAGGCCTCCCCTTCCTGCAAGGCCCAGCCCAAGGCCTCGGGCTCCACTATGTCCTCCCAGGGGCCTGCTGCCCACAGAGGCCTCTCCCATGCCCCTCGGCAGTCTGTATTCTGCCGCCCCATTGCCCACCAGCCCGCCCAAAATGCTGAGGCATCTCTCTTCCCTGCAGGGCCTGGCCTGGAGGGGCACCAACCAACGCCGTGGAGCCAATGCCTGAACACAAGGACCTGGCTCTGGAACTCTTTGGACCCCTGGGCCTTATAAGGGTTACAGTTCTATTTCACAGAGGATGACCCAGCGTCCCATGTGGCCTGCGGGCCACTGATTGGCCTGGTCCCTTGGTCTCTCCTCCTGCCCAGAGAGAGGCCCTTGTGTCCACGGCAGTAGGGTGAGAACTGCGTTTGTGACAGGGATGTTCTTACCCTGCCATGCTGCGGATGGGCCACTGGCCTGGGACACTCAGTTCTTTCCCTGCCCCTCACAGCGCAGCTCCCATCTTGTCCCCCCGCTCCCCGGCCCCAGAGCCCTCCCCAGGTCTACGTGGAGGGGCCGCCATCCGCAAAGAGCAGATCACCAGGGCAAGGGGATCTTGTTTTCCCGACGTCCTAGGGGCTGTGCCTTGTTCATGTCACCCCAGCCTGTGCCTTGCCCTGTGCCAGGTGCACAGCACCTGGCCTCCAAGACTCATGGTCCTTGTGCATGGCCTCCCAGCAGGGATGGGATGTGGGGAGCTCTGAGAGGCCAAGGCCCTCCCAAGGCCAAGGGACAGGCCTGTTGGGGAGCTCAAAATGGGAGCACAGTGGGCCAATGCCTGGCTGCCCTCCCCGGGCCCTGGCCCAGCCACGGCTGGTCCTCAGTGGGAGACAACCCTGGGTCCCCAGACATCCAGCCAGGCCTGTTCCTCCACCGCAGCCTGGATGGAGGGACCAAGATGGCTCTTGGGGACTCCACCGGGGAACCCCAGCGTTCATGGTTCCAGCCAGACTACAGAGAAGGGTGTTGGAGCTGAGTTCACGCCGGGCTCCGGTGCCCACCCGGGCCCTGCCCTGGCTGCTAGTTTCGCCGGACAGGGTGCCACATGGACACGGGTCTGCGCAGCGTGGCCAGCATCTGGTTCCAGTGCGTGGTGCCCATGGCACTGGCCGACGGCCCAATGATGACATGGCCCACGTTGTCCCCACGGCCATCACTGCTGCTCTCAGCTACCGTCACACGGAGAGACAGGTCCTGGGGAGGAAGTGACATGGGTGCTAGGGGCCAGGGGCAGTGCCAGAGGTCCCCCATGGCCCCCAGGCCCCAGCGGGGTGCCAGGCACGGCCCCGTGAATCCTCACCTCTGACCTGTCTAACCTCACAGCCCAGATGTAAATGCTGGCCTCACCACTTCCTTGCTGTGTGAACTTGGGCAGTGACTTGGGCTCTTCCTACCTCAGTTTCCCCATCTGTAAAATGGTGATAATCATAGTTCCCACCTGTTCTGGGAACAAAATGAGTTGAAAGGTGTAAAGCACTTAGAAAAGTGCCTGCACACAGTCAGAGCATTATAGATGTCTGTTGTTAATCCTGAGATAATCATATGTTGGACTCATAACAGGAAGGGAAAGAACTTGCTTGAGATCAAAGTGGTGAAGCTGAGACTGGAACCCAGCCTGACTTCTCTCCTTCCCCTCCCCCCTCCCCCTAAGAACACGCAGGGAAGCAGGGGGCAGACGGGTGGCCTGTCCCGTGAGGGTGGCCAGGCAGGACCAACCAGGGATGCTGAGATGTTTGCCTGGATTCCGAACACCCAGAGTGCGGCAGAGTTCTGGGCTTTCAAATTCAGACCGGCTATCCCAAGAGGGGAGATTAGGGGTTTTCCGTACAGCCCCAGGGCCAAGCCCAGGGCAAGTTTTGGCTCAAGGCACAAAAGGACTTTCTCACGTGGTCAGGAAGGTAGTGAGCTCCCCATCCTCTGAGGCATGCAAGCCGGGCCAGGTCTGTGGCCCAGGGCACATCCTCTCCAGTCCTCCCACCCTTGGCCTGTGATATCTGTGCTGGGAGGGGGTCTCCCTGGGGCACATCGCCTGCTGAAGGCCAGGGGGCATCTGGGGAGCTCCACAGGGCCTCTGTAGGCAGAAACTCGGGAGATTTAGGGCCAGAGCTCTGGGCGTTGGGTCAGTCCTGGCTCATCCCTAGTCCTTTGCAGTTCCCTCCACAGGGAACTGTCTTCCCACAGATCTCAGCTTAGCTACCCCCACCTGCAGAGGCCTCCCCTGACTGCCAAGGTCTAGCACGCTCTTAGTGGATGGGGATTGTCTGGAGACTTTCCTGCCTGTCCCTTGTGAGTGCCAAGGAAGCAATGCCTGTGTCCCCAGCACCCACCAGAGGGCTGGTACCTAGTAGGTGCTCAATACACGCTTCTCGACTAGAAAGGTGATGCCTTAAGGCAAACCATCACCCCCTGCAGGAGCTCTGAGGAGATAGACTGGAGGGGATAGAGGGGCCCCACCCCCTGCACCATCCGCCTCACCTGGAGCACAATGGCGGGCACTGAGAAGATCATGGCTTCATTGAACACCGGGTTAGGGTCGTCCCTCTTCACAGCCGTCTTCTTTTTGCTCATCTTCCTCCCATCCTGCAGCAGGTACACCTTGACGAAGGGGTCTGTGGGCAGGGAGGGGGGTGGGGGTGAGAGCCAGTGCGACACTCACTTGGCATAGACCTGCCCAGTCACAGCGGCTCACCAGCCACTCTCTCCTGCAGTCCTGCCATCAGTCCTTTATTGCGTTCCTATTTTACAGATGAGAAAACTGAGGCTCACGCGCGAGTCAGGAGAAGAGCTGGGCTTTGGACTCCGGCAGCCGGCCCACCAGCCCGCACGAGTGCTCCCCTCATGTGAGGCTCTGGGGAGCTCAGCAGACCCACCACTTTTCGTTCTATAAATGGCCCAAACGCAGATGTCAGCCCCGAGTCAGCCGGCGCCCGCTCAGTGGAGCCTGACTCAAGGACATACAGCTCTGGAATGCCTGCTCATCACTTACCACCCACTGGGTGTCCTTGCTGCACCTGCCTGGACCCGGGTCCCCCAGGCTCCCAGTCAGCCTCCTGCAGCCCTCAGTTTTCCGTTACTTGGGGCTGAGGCTCCTGCAGACCTGACGCATCAGGTCCTGCCTGGCACCCACACCATCTCGGTGGCCCTGGTCCCCGTTTGGGATCTGGGATGCAGTCCAGCCTCCGGGAAACGCCTACCTTGTTTTCATACCAGTGCCCCAGCCTGCTGCTCTCAGACTCCCATCCCTCCCCCACAGGGGCTCCCTGCCAGCCTCTGTGGTTCCCATGTTTCCCCAGCTAGATTAATCTTCCCACTGTGCATGGCTCCTGAGCCCAGCCAAAGCCAGGGGTGAGGGGTCTGGCACTGTGCCCTACACCTGCTGATGCCTCCAGGTGCCCCGGGCTTAGCAGCTGGGCCATGGCTCCCACCTGCCCCACGGAGGAGCCAGGCAGCCAGGAGGGCCTTACCCGCTGTGGTCTTGTCGTTGGTCCAGATGAGATTCTTGGCTTTCACCACGACCACTGTAAGACGCTCGGCCGTTGGGAGGTAGCTGAGGGACAGCAGGATCTCGCCCACAGCGTCGGCGGCCTGGAGGACAGGCGGGTGACTCAGAGGGCTTCTGCCCCTGGACTTCCACTGAGAAGTTGCTGCTCTTGGGGGCCCTTACACCAGGGCACCAGGCTGGTGGGATCGAGAAAGGGACCCCTCCCCCGCTCCACAGCGCCATCCCTGCCTTGTACCGGGTATGGGTCCTGCCTTGGAAGGAAGGCCAGAGGTTGCCTGTCAAATGCAGCAACAAAATGCAGTTATCTTCCCTCATTCCAGACCCGAGAAAACATTCTCCGGTAGTAGCACTTACAGGTCCAGGTGGACTGGAATTAGTAGATCATTTGCTTAAATAACAGCGATGCTCCCTAAGCACTGCTACATTTGCGACGGTAAACTGCAGGTTGGCCTCTGTCTGAAATAACTCACTTGAGGGCCAGAGGAGCACTTCCCTCACAGAAGCTCTACAGGAGTAGAGCTTCTAAAGGTTTGGTGGTAGGAGCAGTAGAAGGGCTGTAAACAGTGGGGTCAGGGTGCCTTTCATTTGCATGCAGTAAACTGAGTTTCCTTGAGTGTGGCTCAGCTCTTTCTCTAATCTCCTAAAGATGCTGGTGTTCAGGCTGTTGCGAGGACAGCGGATTCCCTCCTCTAAAGTGTACACGTATGGCGCTGTCCTCAGGCACAGGCAGGTGGGCGGGCTTACCTTGTTCTGGTCCTGTAGGTAGAGCCAGCCACCGAAGGGCTGCAGCGGGAGGTCAAGCACAGAAAGCTTCAGCTCCACCACCCCTGTGCTCACATTCCGCTCATCTCCATCGACGCCAAGCGCGGAAAACCGCAGGCTTTTCTCCTCCAGGGCTGCGGGGTCCAGGGCGATGGAGAACTTCTCGTCGAAGAAGATGGAGTAGGCGTTCCTCTGGATCTGCAGAGAGAAAGAGCAGGGGAAGGAGGTCCAAAGCTGGGGACGAGGTGGCAGCAGGATGCCTGCGAGGCCATGGCGGGGAGTGAGCACCGGATGGGGAGTCTGGAGACCTGGGCTAGCGTCCTGGCTCTGCTGTCCCCACACTGCAATGCCAATCCTTCCTTTGGTGGCTCAGTCCTGATGATATAAAAGCCCCCTGTGCTCTTCTCAGTGGTGGCCAATCTAGTGACCTGGCATTCGAAGCTTCCACAAGCTGACCCCAACTAATTCCCAGCCTCAGTGCCCATGGGTCCACAGAACCCTTGCGATGTGCCGGCTGAGCTGGTCATCTTTCTTGCACGTGTCCAAGTCCAGCCCTGGGCCAGGCATGCAGTGAGTAGGGATAACTGTCTGTGAAGTTGAGAGTTACTGATGTCCCATCCCGCATGGGGCCTGGCCTAGGACTCTCTGAACGTTATGGGGTGGATGGACCGATGGAGTGACGAGGCAAGGCTGGGCAGACTCTGTTTCTAAGCCTAGTCCTGCCTGGTGGGCGCCACTGGCCTCTTCCCAGGAAGCTGTGGGCGGGCCCTCTGGGAAGGTGCATTTGTGGGCACTGATCCCCCTTCCATGGGGGGCTGCTTTGGTCACTGCCTGGTGATATTTTAAGAGAGGAGATCTCATCCCTGGCACCTCGCCTGATGCCGGGGGGCTGCCCAACCTGGGGGCAGCCACCCACTCACTGGGATTGGCTGGGCTGTGATGCTAAGAAGCCTGCATTCTTGGGAATAAATCTGTCGGTACCTCCAGATGCCCTGAGCTGCACTCTTCGGTCACTGTCTGGGCTGGAAAAGCCTCTTCTTACCTTGCACCCTGGGAGCTACATCCCCTACCCAATCACCTGCTTGAGAACCAAGGGTGACCCTTCCTTCCTGGGATAAAGCCCACCTCCTGATCCCGACCCTGACATTCAGGCTTTTCACGATCTTTGGCCCTAAATTCCTTCCTCTGGCCAAATTAGCCCCTTGACTGTCCCCTGCCCATAGGAGCGCAGGCTCCCTGACGATCCATTCTCTGTACGTTGCACTTTATGAGCACGTGGAGACCCCTGGGGTGGAGTCCTGGATCTCCTGCTCACTTGCTGGGGTTGTCGTGGGCAAAGCACTTTCCTGAGCCTCAGTTTCCTCATCTATAAGATGCTCTCAATCCATCCCCGATCACCGGGGCTAATGAGAGGGTCGCAGATGTGTTGGGCTCTGTGAACCATGTTCTCAGCATACATCAGGCCGTGGTGGCTGCTGTCAACGTGCTGCCTCAAGGGATGTGTCCAGAACCGCCCAGGTCCTCCAGGCAGCTGAGGCCACGGGCAGCGTGGATATGGGCTCAACAGGAACACTTCATGGTCCTGACAGATGACAATCCGTTGAGCGCTTACCAAGGACTGGGCTAAGGACTTTGCATTTCCTGAAGCACTATGATGCTCACTTGACAGATGGGAAAACTGGGTCACAGAGTGCTTAAGTGACTCACCCGAAGTCACACTTCTAGGAAGTAGGGAACCAGGATTTGAACCCAGGCAATCAGGCTCCAGGGTCCTGCGCCTAACCACCCACTGGGCTGCCTCTCTGAAGCTGGCCTTCCCTTCTTGGCCCTACATACACCCTGGTGGTTGGTTCTAGACCCTCCTAGAGTGAGGGGGGCAGGGTGGGGCAGGAGAGGAATGACAGTCTCCACCTCTGAGGGGCTGCCAATTTCAGCACAGGAAACAGGACTGGACACGGGTGGGTCTCTGAGGAGCCAGAGCCACTTGACCTCAGGATCCTCCTGCCCTGGTCACAGCGCGTGCTGGGCTGACCTCGACCGCTGGTGCTGGGCAGCAGGGTGTCTCACGTAGACCTCTCTCTCTCTCTCAGCAAGGGGGGCGGATCATGGAGGGGCATCCTGGGGGGTGTGCTGGGTCCCTCTCCTTGCCCCTCCCGGCTTATTCTGCACCCTCCCCCCTGCTTTCGGCCCCAGGGGCTGACCTCTATGGGCTGCATCAACAGGCTCCCTAGGCCTCTGGCTTCCGGTGGGGTCAGCCAGTAGGGGTCACTGGAGGAAAACCAGAGGTCGGAGGGAGGTCGGGGTGCTTATTCCTCCAGGTCCTTCTCTGCAGCATCGCTGCGAGCAGACGGTGCCTCTTGACCAAAGGGCACAGCACCTATCAAGGCGCTGGTCTCTAGGTAACCTCGTGTTCCCCTCATCCCCTCGGGCCAGGGTACCACGCCATCCCTGAGGTCACCCCACACACAACATTATAACAGTCCTGTTATTAAGCTGTCCCCAAATTAGCCAACATGAGCTTGTCATCCCTTCCCTGCCAGGTCCCCAAGTTGACACAACTGACAAATGGACAATTACCACACACTGGATTCATGTGGCAGGACTGCTGAGAACTGCACACAATGGGAGCCTGCAGGTGGAGGCCCCAGACTCCCAGTTCTGTGCTCCCTAAAGCCAGCACCTTCCGCTCAGGGATCAGCATCCAAATCTGCTCTCTAGCGCCCTCCTCAGATTCTGCCTGGTCCTGCACCCTTGACTGCCTGGGCAGGACTCGTGAGAGCCCGGGGCACACGGCTGCCCCGCCCTCCCAGCCCCCACTTACCCGGGAAATGCCCACGATCTGCTCGTCCGGCAGCAGGCTGACGCGCATGAAGCAGGACTCGAAGCTGGCTTCCTCCCGCTCCAGGAGGTCCTTGCCCTGCAGTACAGCCACGTGGAGGGTGTGGGAGGCGGCATCGTAGTCCATGCTCACCTCCACCTGACCCAGCGTGAAGTCCTGCCCGAAGGTGTTGCTCACGGAGGAGATGGAGTTCAGGGAGTCGGCCGACTGGGATTTTCGGAGGGCCCCGTAGGGAGCCAGGTCCAGCTCACGGCCCATCAGCTCCAGGGGTCCCAGCTCGCTGATGCTCTCAAAGGTGTCCTCAATGCTGAGGCTGCCTTTGCGACTGGGTGACCCCCTAGTGCTGGCCCGCTGGGCATTCCAGGCAGGCACTCTCTGGGGGTGAGAAAAAGGGACATGGGAGCATCAGAAGGGCAATAGGCATGGTCTTGAAGGGACAGCAAAGAGATACGGTAAGCCCTGTTCATGCAAGGCACCTCCAAGTTCCCCTTTTGCAAAAACAGGGCATGCCTTAGTTAGGAAGGTCCTTCTTTATTGTTATTTCATGTCAGTTTTCTCTCCCTAACCAGGAGGTAAGAGAGCTTTTTCTCAAAATGTTTATTTATATGGACTGAGTTTCATACATAAAGATGTTCACTGCAGTGATGTTTATGAAAAGGAAATATAGTTAGCAATCTAAGTGTCCAGCAGAAGGGGAACGTGTAAGAAAACTAGAGTACAGGTACTCAATACATGACAGAGCAGCCTCAAAGGAAGTTTACAAAAATGTCTACCACATGAGAAAGTTTTCAAGTTGGATAACACTAACTTTAATATTCAAATTTTTCTTTTCTCTCAATTGACCTTGGGATTTGAGAAGACAAAAACCTTTGTACAGTAAGCATCTCCCATGTTGGTACATAATCTTTATTACCATAATTTTTAATGGTCCCCTTAATTTGCCATTGAGTGGATCGCCATAGTTTATTTTACTATTCCCCTACAGTTGGACATTTATATTGTTTTTAATTTTTTACAAATATAAACAATGCAGCATTGAATAGCTTTCCTTTTCCTTTTTTTTTGGCCGCGCTGCGCGGCATACAGGATCCTAGCTCCCTAACTAGGGAACGAACATGTGCCCCCTGCGGTGGAAGTGCAGAGTCTTAACCACTGGACCTCCAGGTAAGCCCCTTGAATAGCTTTCTTAAAATCTTGACTTAGAGGACATAGTCCTTTTTTTTTTTTAATCTATTTTATTTATTTTTTATTTTTGGCTGTGTTGGGTCTTCGTTGCTGCGCACGGGCTTTCTCTAGTTGCTGCGAGTGGGGGTTACTCTTTGTTGTGGTGTGTGGGCTTCTCATCGCGGTGGCTTCTCTTGAGGAGCACGGGCTTTAGGCATGTGGCTTCAGTCGTTGTGGTACATGGGCTCAGTAGTTGTGGCTCTCGGGCTCTAGATCACAGGCAGTAGTTGTGGGGCACGGGCTTAGTTGTTCCACGGCACATGGGATCTTCCCAGACTGGGGATCGAACCCGTGTCCCCTGTATTGGCAGGCGGATTCTTAACCACTGTGCCACCAGGGAAGTCCCGAGGAGTAGTCCTTCTGAAAGCTTTTGATACATGTTTCCAAAATGCTCTTTGGAAAAGTAGTTCCAATTTACAGTCCCTCCAACTGAGCGAGAGATAATTCCTTCCAAAACCCCAAATGAGCGAGCATGTGGGACCTTTATCTGGTAACAGATTCTGGCTGTGCTCTCTGGAACTCTACATGATGTTAGAAAAATTCTCTGCCAATGTTAAGTGATGAAGCATTTAGCAATATATAGAGAGCCCTAAAAATGTTTATACTCCCTGACACAGTAATTTCACATCTGGGCATTCATTCAAAGTACGTAATCCCAAATGAAGACAAAGTTTTACATGTAAACCATTTACTGCATTATTTATAGTGGCATTTAGTAAACCATGGCACATACATAAAAAGGAATCTTAGGCAGCCATTAAAATAATGTTTACAATCAACAATATGAGAAAGTGCTTCCGTTTTAAGTGAGATGAAAAGGGTAGGGTATAAAATTCTCTGTAGAGATGACACCCATTGTGTAAAAGCTATGCATGGAAAAAAGACCGGGGGGAGGGGCCTAGATTTAAAATATTGGAAAGAAAGAAATCAAAATGTTAATAGTTTGAAGACAATTCACAGTTGCTTGCCTCTGGGTGGTGACATTTGGGGAGGTTTTTCTTCTTATTTTTATTTTCCTGTATTTTTCACAGGATGGTGTTTTAAATTGAAAGCATTCATTCATTTGCCAAGCATTCATGGATTACCTAGCACTGGGCTATGTTGGAATGTGGAGGAGCACAAGGGTCCCTGTTCGCAGGAGGAAATTAACCAGGAGGGAGTGAGGAGGGGAGGGAGTGGGGGCCAGTCCTGAGAGTGGACGGTTGGGGCGTGGGGCGTGCAGTCCAGTGTGCACCCATGAGAGCCTCACCTTCTGCCGGGCCTCTGCGTAGTTCTCACCATACTTCTGCTGAAGGTACCTGTAGTCGTAGTTCGGGAACGGGGAGGGGCTGGGGAAGCTCCCCGACGTCCAGAGCTTCCACAGACTCACAGCTGCAATTCCCAGCAGTGCCAGGGCCCCGGCAGCATAGACACCCACTTCCCAGTCAGGGGGGCTCTTGATGACTGCAAGGCAAGAGCAGAGCAGTCTCTCGTTAATGGGCACTAGGACCCTTCAGTTGTTACACATTCCCACCCAGCAAGCCTGTAGTTCAGCACTGATTTGCTTATTCATTGAAAAAAATATTTATTGAGTGTCTACTATGTCAGGTTCTGTGCTGGGTGCTGGGGATCCAGTGTTGAACAAGCGATACCCCCTCCGATATCTGCTTTTAGCTCCTTTCCACAAAAACATACTATCAGGAGCGACATTTGGGTAGAGCAGATGAAGAGCTGTGAACAATGGTTAAATATTCCTTAGGCTTTAAACAGGTAGGGCTGTTTTTTTTTTAATTAATTTATTTTATTTTTGGCTGCACTGGGTCTTTGTTGCTGCACAGGGGCTTTTCTCTAGTTGAGGTGAGCAGGGGCTACTCTTGGTCGCAGTGCACAGGCTTCTCATTGTGGTGGCCTCTCTTGTTGCAGAGCACGGGCTCAAGGCACGCAGGCTCAGAAGTTGTGGTGCACGGGCTTAGTTGCTCTGTGGCATGTGGGATCTTCCCAGACTAGGGCTCGAACCCATGTCCCTTGCTTTGGCAGGCGGATTCTTAACCACTGTGCCACCAGGGAAGTCCCAGATGGGGTTTTTCTTGCCTCTTTGAGTTCTCTCTACCTTCAGAGGACTTCTGCTTCCAGATAATCAATGCAGCCTGTTGGGATCTGAGGAAAGTGGAAGGGAACTTGGGGGAGAAAAAGAAATGACCCCCTTTTTGCCTCAGACCTCATCTAAAACAATCCAATGTCCATCAGTTGATGAATGGGAAAATAAAATGTAGTACATCCATACAATGGAATATTATTCAGCAATAAAAAGGAATGAAATGATACACGTTATAACATGGATGAACCTTGAAAACATCAAGCTAAGTGAAAGAAGCCAGTGCCCCAAGACCACATGTTGTATGATTCTACTTCTATGAAATGTCCAAAAGAGGCAAATCTATACAGACAGAAAGTAGATTAGTGATTGTCAGGGGCTGCCAGGGGTTGAGGGGAGTAGGGGGAAATGTGGCGTATGGGATTTACTTTTGGGGTGATGAATATATTCTAAAAGTTGATTGTGCTGATGGTTGCACAATATACTGAAGCCCACTGAATTGTACACTTTAAGTGAGTGAATTTATGGCATGTGAGTTTTATCTTGATAAAGCTGTTACCAAAAACCAAAAACCAAACAAACAAAACACTCAGCCAGAAGTGAGAGGTGGCTGTAGGCTGGGCAGGGCTTGGGGACAAATCCAGATGCTCAAATGCGTTCTGTCCACGGACGTTTTAATAACCTCACTTATCTGAGCCTCACTGTCCCCAAACGGTAATTAACTACCCCCTCAACTGTGTTGGGTAAGTCCTCACCTAGCACAGAGCTTGGCCCACGGCAGAGCCACAAATGTTAAGTCACTCTTCTGGGAAACCTGGCTCTGCATTCCCAGAAGAAGCCAATGAGACAGTAGGATTCGTTTTGCAGAAGATTGCACTGTTGGCAAATATAATTCTCTAAACCATTCTCAGTGTTGCCTCTATACTCAATTCAAATGGGGAAACTGAGACACACAAGAACTTGCCCAAGGTCACAGAGCCAAGAAGGGGTGGCCCTGGGATCCCAACAGTGGGCAGCCAGACTCCAGAGCAAGCAGGGGTAAAAACCACTGCCCCACCCGGCCTCTACCCAGCACGGTTCCCTAGCAGCAGGGCAGAGAGATGTGGGGAGGGTGTTTCAGGGTGGAGATTTCTCATCACACAGCCCCTGAGCACCTACTATGTGTGAGCACCCTGCGGAGCGGGTCAGCCCCAGGCCCAGTCCCTGTCCTTAATAAGTGGCTCATAGTCTAGGGGGTGGGGTGGGCAGATAAATAGACAAAAGAGTGATGGGGGTCGTGATGGGAAAAGCCCAGGAGGGCTTTCCAAAGAGGGATGCCTAAGCTGGGTTATGCAGGAGTAGCAAGAAGTGTGCCGGCCAAGGCGCCAGGCACCAGGAGTTTAGGGAAGGAAGAGGGGGGTGTGCAAAGCTCAGAGAGTTCAGAGCACCCAGTGAGAGAGAGGGAAGGGGGCATTTGGGGATGGAGGGGCCACTGCCACTGCTCCCCAAAGCCTGCATAGGGAGGAATCATCCAGCAATGGGAGGCCCCAGCCGGGCCCTGCTCTGCTGAGCCCAGCCAGCTCCAGCCAGAATCTACCATACTTGCTCACCCCAGAGAAGGGCAGGGCCCAGCCTTCAGCCCTGGCATTTACGCAGCACTTAGCACCCTACGAGTTCCCTACCTCCACTTTCTAAAGGAGAACTGAGGCCGATAGCAGTTAAAGAACACATCTATTGGGTTGGCCAAAAAGTTCGTTCGGGTTTTTGGGACCAGCTTATGGACAAACCCGAACGAACTTTTTGGCCACCCCAATACTTATGGGCTCAAGGCCACAGGGGTGAGAAATGGAGAGCGTGGTGCAGGTGCCTTGGCTCCCTGAGGCCACCTCACCTCCCTGGCTCCAGTCTCCTCATCCAGAAAGAGGAGATGACACCAAAAACATCCCCATCCAGTGGTTCTACCCCAAAGGAATTGATTCTAAGGGAAAAATCCCAACAAGTTTTATGTCTGGAGTGAGTCATCGAGTCTGTATTTATAACAGCAGAAATCTGGAAACAGCCTGAAGGTCCAAGCAAGGGTGCCGGTGGTGCTGTCTCAGGAGGGGCTGTCACTGGGCTTTGGGAATGACAGTTGAGGTCATCAGGATGTCACTGTGGCAATGCAGAGAATCGTTTCAGGCATTGTTAAGAGGAAAAAAAAAAAAATCCCAACATGGTATAAGCACATGATTTTAATGTAAAAATCACGCAGCGTATGGGCAAGGGCTGGGCGGACCAGGGAGGGATGGAAGGAGCCAGAGATGCGGATGGAGGGACAGCGAGCAAACCTGTTTACTCCTGACTTCTGTTGCCAGAATGTAATTTGTGGGATAAATAAAACCACAACAAAGAGCTACCAGGGGCCCAGGGCCAAGACCTGACCAGGCTCTCAGGAAGTCCTGGGAGTCTGGCGAATAGGGGATGGGATGGGAACGTACCTGGTGCCTGGAGAGTGAAGTGCATGTGCCGGGGGGCTGCCACCTAGACACACACACAGCCCCAGCCAGCTCACAGGGGCTTGGGTGCTGCCAGGGGGCGGGCCAGGGCCCGGGCACAGAGTCCACATAGGCGATGGGCACAGCAAAGTGGCAAAGCAGCACCAGGCTCCCCTGAGAGTGAGGATCCGGGGGCTGAGGGCCTGAAGCCAGCACCCTGGCTGGCATAAAAGGGGGGCAGGGCCAGGGACACGAAAGGAAAAACCCCAACAAGCTGGCATGAAATGATGACAGTTAATGCTCATTTATTTACTCATTTTATTGCGTACCAGCCTCTGAAAGGTATGAGAAGAATTCCCCAGGGAAGTGAGGTCTGAGCTGAGACCAGAAATGAGGAAGGAGGAATCTTAGTAATAATTGTTCCCTTACTATTTTCCATTCGCCAGGCTCTGTTCCAAACACTTCATGTATACTAACCCACTGAGTCCTCAGAACCACCCTGTGAGGAAGGTTCTATTATTATCCCCATTTTACAGACGATGAAGCTGAGAGATAGAGGAGCTATTCGCTGCCAGACAATCTGGCTCCAGATCTGTGCTCAAAATCTCCACACCAGTCTCAAGGCCTTAGCCAGGCAGAGGCAGTAAGTACCCCAAGGGATGGGAACACCATGTGCAAAGGCCCGGAGGTCGGGGAGAGCTGTGTTCAAACAGTTGGGCACTTCACACATGTTAGCTCATTGAATCTTCCCAGCAGTCCCTGCCCCCATTTTACAGATGAGTAAGTGGAGGCTCAGAGAGGTTTCATCACTTACTGATGGTCACGCCAGGGCCTGGACCAAGACCTGTGAGCCTGCAGGTGAAAAGTGAAAATTCCTGGCTGGGAGTTGGGAAAGGTGGTTCCCCCTTGTACGTCCTTCAGCTCAGCCCTGGGCTGGCTGGGGTCTGAGCTCGGGGAGGAGCTGGAGTGATGGGGAGTACTGGCCTGGGAGTCAGGAGACCTGAGTCCATGTCCTGACCCTGTTACTTACTTAGTCACTGTCCCTTTCCTTTGCTGAGCCTGCCTTCTCCCATGTGTAAATGGGGAGGGGAACGTAAGGAGAAATGATGGCGAGGGTACTTCAGTTCTGACACCATCCATCGTCAGCTGGAGTGTGTCTGGTGTCTTGAGGCTGGTCCCAAGCTCAGTGCCTGCAGGGGCACACACGAGGAGAAGGTGGGAGCTGCCATCCCTGGACTGGGCGACCTCTGAGTTTAATGTCCTGTGGATCTAACATCGACCTTCCTGGGTTTCCTCGCCTTTGGCTCCAGGAATGGCCCCAGGGGAGTGGATTCTGCATGACAGGCTCGACCTTAGGGAGTAGCAGCACATGGGCCTCCTGGGGGATCCCCTCAAGTCCTTCCACCGGAGCAGAAAGACGAAGATACCTCAGACTGGCCCCAACCCGGCCTCCCCAAGGCTGTGTGATCTTGGGCAACTCACTGACAGTCCTTACCAGTAAAACAGGGCCGTTACTGGTGTCCCACTGACACCCCCCACCCCAGGCCCGGTGGGAGGGTCCTGTGAGATGGCACGTTTGCCGCGGGGACTCACCGCTCAGGTGGTATTCTGCCACATCCACGGCCATGACGCCCACCGCAAGGGCTGAGACTGGAAGGGAGAGGAGAGTCAGTGGAGGGGGCTTCAGAGGGTCATCAACCCCCCGCTGTGGCCCAGGTGCCCATCATCCAGCTCACACTCAGGTGGAGGGGGCCTGGGCAAAAGTAGTGTTTTTTTTATTCTTTCATTTTTATTCTTTGGCCGTGCTGCGTGGCATGCAGGATCTTAGTTACCTGACCAAGGATCGAACCTGGGCCCTCCGCAGTGGAAGTGCGGAGTCCTAACCACTGGACCGTCAGGAAAGTCCCTGAAATAGCATTTAAAAAAAATGGTGTTTAAAGCTCTTTTCAAGCACTCTGAGACCTCATTTCAGGGTTGCCAAATGCAAAAACACAAGACACCCGGTGAAACGTGAATTTCAGATTCGTTTTTAGTAGAAGTATGTCCAAATATCGCATGGGACATGCTTATACTGAAATACTATCCACTGTTTATCTGAAGCTCAAAAGTTGCTGGCATCACGTATTTGTAGTTGCTAAATCTGGCAACCCTGCTTCACTTTCGTCCTACCAACAACAGGCTGACCAGCAGCAACTCTGTTACTCCTTAGAGCAGCCCCTCAGGGTGTTCCCCAAGACTGACTTCAAATGCTTTTGTTTAAATTGGACCCGAAATTCTGCATTTCTACAATATTCTATTATCAGTTCTTTCTCTGCTTGGGATGGTTTCCTCCCCACCCTCTTTATGAACCACTGAAGGTTTGAGAGGTTTGAAGGTTTAAGTTGTTCTAGAAAGGTCTAGAAGCTCATACAAGCCATTACCTGCCCAGGCAACTGCTTACGGTTTTATTATTTTTGTTGCTAAGAAGGAAACTGGCTCCCAGACATGTTCTAAATGGGGTGGGGGGTTGAAAAAGGGAGGCTAGCATGAGCTGTATGGATCTCAGCTCAAGGGACACGGAGGACAGGATGGCCCCCACGCTAATTTCTGCGTTCCCTCGCGGTTCAGAGAGGTGGTTATAAACAGGTAAGATGGGGTACACGGGGCGGTGGCGGGGGAGACCTGCAGAGTGACCGTCCACCCAAGGGCAACTGCTTTTCTGTTCCCGCGGGAACGCCAATCCAGCCTGGCTGGATCTTCTGAAAATCCAGATACCGGTATTTTTTAATGTGCAGTTTCTTGATTTTTAAATGTTGCAACCAACTCACAAAAAATGTAAACACTACTGGGTAGAGAGGGAAAGGGTCCTGGGTGGTGGCTAGCCTGTTTGCAACTCCTCGAAGGATTGTGTGGGCTCCCTTTGGGACTGGGGTCAAATCAGGGGGTGAGCATTTTCTAGAATCCTGGGGTTCTCCCCAGTTTGTAGCTCTGGAGTCAAGAAGCTGGGGTGCCTTGATCCAGACAGGGTTATCCGGCACGTGTGGGAGTGCCGTAGGTCCCAGGACAGGAGGCCTCGAGAAGCAGGGCGGAACAGGGTCCTGGGGCAAAGCCCTGCCAGGTGCACAGAGAGCTCCTTGCTCCCAGCTCCCTTGATGATGCCCCCACTCCCACAGTGAGATGTGGGTTGTCATGGTGATGGGAGGGAGGCGCTAACCTGGACCGGATTCACCCATGCCAATTCAAGTGGAAGCTCATTGCTGGGACCTGGGCTGGAGATCATGATAAGGACCTTGCTAAGCACCCCTTACACCCAAGCCCTAAGCACTTTGCATGTATATTACCTCATATATTACCTACCTCTAACAGCCCCTTGAGGTAGGTGCTATTACTATCTCTGGTTTGCAGAAGAGAGTCTTGAGGCAAGGAGGTAAAGTCATTTGCCCCAGGCTACACAGCTAAGAAACGTTCAACCCAGGCCACTTGCTTCCACGCTCCCTAACCGCTGTGCCTTACTGCGGGGGGTGGGGGGTGGGTGGCATATGGATTCAAAAGTTGCCTGAGAACCCGCAGGCCAAATTAGGCACTGTGTACAAGCCCAAGGTGGCCCTACTTCGTGGCAGAAGGGAGGCTGGATACACCAAAACACACATGTTAACATGAACACACATGTCCCAGTCTGCCTCTGCCTTGCTGGGAATCTGATCATGCCATTGGCTTTCTTTCCTGTTTCTCTAGCACAGGCTGACTTCCTGCACGGGGACAGCCCATGCCAGCAGCACACTAGAGTGGGTGGGCTGGGTACACCCCTGCGGCAAGTTCCTGTGGTTGGGGACAGAACCCCGTACCTGCTGTATCAGACCTCTGGCTGTCGAGGGGCCCCCACCTCTCCAAGGCTGGTCCAGCTCAGACCCCAGACTCCCACACTGCCCACCTTTCCCCCTCCCCTCATCACAACACCCTGGGAGCTGTGCTTTCAGTGAAGGTGTGAATGACTCTAGGCTCACCCAGGCCAGAAGGTCCCGCAGATGTGCCCTGGGAACGGGAGAAGCCAAAGCACATCTGCCTGAGAGGAGGGAAGAGAGAGCTTGGGGGAGACGTCGAGGTTCCTGGGACGGGGCGGCAGCCTGAGCACAGCTCTGAAACCCAGATCTGCCCCCTCTGTAAAATGGGGCTTAAGATGGCCCTATCAGGGTGTCAGGAGGGAGGAATGAGAAGTGCAGTGGGGCTTTTTGGCAAATCTTAGCTGCTGCACTTCCTTGCCTGGCAATGGTCCGAAAGGCCCCTAGACCCCTACTTTGAGCAGTGGAATTGTGTGGGCAGCACTGCCAGCCTGCAGATGTGTTATATTTGTCTTAAAGTGAGTTACCAACATTTAAAAATTGGGAAATTTCCCATTAAAAAATGGATTTCTTAAAAAAAAAAAAAAAAAGGATAGATTTCCAGCTTCCCATTAAAAGTAAGATTTGGGAACAGTGGGTCTGTATACCCTGCCACCCCACCCCCCACCCCCACCCCCAATAGCCATAGCTGGAGCTGAGTAGGCTCCGTCCCTCAGACGGGGCATCTGCTCTTCTGGCCTCGCACCTCCTACCCTTCCATTCACTTCCAGAACCTGCTGGCCTCTGGAAGCATCTCTATTCATGAGCCTGGTAAGCAGGCTTTTGGATGAGCTAGGGGAGGTTCAGAAAGGTTAAGTGACTTGCCCAAAGCCGCACAGCCAGCAGTGGTAGAGCTGGGCCTGCCAGCTGGGCCTGCCACCCCATCCAGCGCCTCTTCTATTAGTGTCACAGCCCCTGTGCAAAGGACTTCATGTACGTCTTCCCCATGGCCTCGCCCAAGACCCCTAGGGGGCAAATCCTGTTTTTATCCCCACTCCACAGAGGAGGAAAGTGAGGCTCAGGGAAGGGCAGTGAATTTGCCCAGGGTCACCCAGCCAGTAAGCGGAGAGCTGAGACAGAGCCAGATCTGGCTCTGCAGCAAGCGCCCTTCTTAATGGCTTTACTTACTATCACTGAGACCCCCTGACTCCCTCTCACCCAGTACTGACAACCTCAGCAGACTCCCACTGGCAGCCTGGAGGTTTGCCAGGTAGAGGGGCTGCAGCTTCAGCTTGGAACAGGATGCTGACAAGGCACATCCGAGGCCAGGGCAGCCTCTGACCAGAGCTCCCCTGCATTTCTGACACACAGGAAATGGGGAACAGCAGGGGTGGGTCAGAGCTGCCCCAAACCTTCATCTGAGCCCCTTCCTGGCACCCTTCCTCACTCCACATCTATTCATTCTGGCCCCAAACCCCCAAACCCTAAATTGCATGGCACTTGCTCATTGAAAACAGCTTTGGGTTCAAATGCTGGCTTAACCACACCTACCAGGCAATACGTACCTATTGCTGTAAGAATTAGACATAATTCATGCTAAATGACTAGCGTAGTGCCTGGCTCGTAGTGTGAACACGATATAGACCTGATGACTGAATGGATAAACGGATCCCCCTTTTACAGATTAGGAAGGCGGGGATGGAGTCACTCGGCATATGAGTAGCAATACTGGGACTGACTCCCGGGTACAATGCATCTGGGCCTGGGCTCTTGGCCACCATGCCACCTCCTGACCAGGCCTTTCAGGGGTGGAGATGGGTGGGAGGAACTGCCACGGGCCTTACTGGAATCTGACCACAGTGGAGGCCTCCTCCTGGGCTTATCAAGAAATGGCTTTCCAGGAATTTGGTGCCTCTGCGGCGGAGAGGGTCCCCACGTCTCTGCTCCCCCTCACCCCATTTCCTTGCTTAGTGTCCCCATGTCACATCTCTGGCTAGCAAGGTTTTGGCTCCCCCTATCCTCACCCTGAGGCCAGCAGGTAATGGGAAGGATCAGGGGATGGTACAGGGGAGCCCTCGACCTTCCAGGCTGGGAGCCTCTTTAGGAGCTTTAGCTTTGAGATCCTTTTCAAGTGCTCCCACTTCCTGGAATAACCACATCCTGCTACCATCCCCCCAAAAGCCCACAAAACCCACAGTACTGACTGGCGAGGATGGTGGTAGCTGGCATTAACTGGGCACCTACTATGTGCTGAGCACTGTACCAAGGACTCGCCAGGTGTTATTTCGGCAAATCCTCCCTGCTGCCCTCTGAGGGGGCTGATACTCTTCCCATTGTACTGGTAAGAAAACTGAGGTGCAGGAAAACACTTGCCCATAGTCACCAGAGCTGACAAGAGGCAGAGTCCAAGGTTGAACCCCAGGCTGGGAGCCCCCTCTCTCCTAAGCTGTTTGGAAAGGCTTCAGATTTCAGGGTGGGGAGGCCAGGGGCTTGGGTCTTGACCCTTCTCCAGACTGGCTGTGTTAATTTGGGTGAGTCTCCTGCCCTCTCTGAGCCTCAGTTTCCCCATTTCTAGTAGGATGCATAGCTCCTGCCGCTCTCCAAACCTGTCACCCACCCCCTGGCTCAGGGAAGAGGCTAACATTCCAGGGTGCAGGTTTCCCAGGCTCTTTGTGGGGAGGATGGCCTCACTGGCTGAGGAGGGGGCACCCAGTCCCTCTGCAGCCCATGAAAGAGGGGTCACTAGGAGGGCGTGCTCAGGGCTCCTCCACCCACAGGCCTGGCTCCAGATCCCCATGTTTGGACCCAGTTCCCCCTTCTTCAGCCTAAATCTACAGCCCCAAGGCCCTGAGATGGGCAAGCTTCCTCTCCCAAAGAGCAGTGGCATCAAAGGTTGGCAGGGAGACCCTGGAAATCTCCCCACCCATGATGGTGACACCAGGCAGAGGCTGAGGATCCTCTTGGCCTTCCAGGGCTTCCTGGCAATGGGGTGCGACATGGGGCATTTCCTGAAAACCCAGCACCCATGCCGCGGTAACCCCCAGGATACATGGGGACCGGAGTGTGGGGGGCTGACCCGGGAGCCGGGAAGATGGTGTGAGGCGGGGCCGGGAAAGTGGGGACAATCAGGGCGATGTGGGGGGCGGGGGGCGTGCGTGCAGCGCGGGCGCCAGGGAGGCGTGTAAATGACCGGGTGAGCCGCGTGTGTGCACACGCGGGGCGGGCGTGCGGGGCACGATGCGATGCGCAGTGCATGGAGTGGCAGGGCCAGGGAAGGGCGCCCGGCGTGCGCTGTGCCGGGCTTCGGTGTGCAAGCGCGGCGCGGGTGTGCAGACGAGAGGGGAGCTTGGAGCCCGGGGGTCCCCGGCGCTGGGAGGGGCACTGCGTTCATCTGCGCGAAGGGTGCGTACTCACCCCGGCTCCGCGGAGGGGCCGCCGCTCCAGCTCCGGCTCCGGCTTGGGCTCCGGCTCCGGCTTGGGCTCCGGCTCCCGGCCGGCCTCCCGCAGCGCGCACGCACCGGCGCCAAGCCCGGCCGTCGCCGGCGGAGCCAAGCTTGCAGTGTCTCCCCGCGTCCGCCTGGGAGGAGCGCGGCGCGGTCCGGGGGCTCGGCCGGGCCGGGGCGGCAGTCGCGAGCTGCGCCGCAGTCCAGGCACGCTCCCAGCAGCCCGCCGCGCGCTCCCTCGCGCTCGCCCGCCCGCTCCCTCTTTAAAGTGACAAACCCGAGCGCTGTCTCCGCTCCCGGGAGTTGCGCGGCGCTTCTGGGGTCTAAGCTGAAGATCCCCAAGCGCTCCCAGGATCCCAGGGGGTCGTCCGAGGCAGAAGCCAGCCCCTCACTCCCTGGCCCAGCATGAGTGGGGATGGGGGGGTGGGAACGTGTTCACCGCGAGCTTCGAGAGGCTGGCGGAGCACTGGGCACGGAGTCAGCAGGCTTGGGTTCTAGCCCCAGCTGCCGCACCCCGGGTTATCCTGTTCCCCTGTTAGGCCTCAGTTTATTTTTCTGTAAAACGGGCTGGATACTGTGCACTTCCTAGGAACCGATCAGGAAACAGGAGGCGGGAGGTTTCCGCTTCTCTGAATGGTAGGCCACATCATCTCAGTTAATCCTCACAATGACTTGATGTCAGTGGTCACTCCGTTTTTTTTTTTTTTTACAGAGGGGAAATGACCTTCCCAAGGTCACAGAGCCAAGGGTCAGAGCCAAGACTTGAACCTAGGTCTATGTGACTTTAAAGCCCATACTCTTTTTTTTTTTTTTTTTTTTTTTTTTTTT